CCCAGCATCCAGCTCTGTGCAGCACCAGGTTCTCTACCTGTTCTCTGTAAGTCCATACACATCTGCTCTCCTGCCCCAAGATACACCCCTTCTAGGGCACAGCCACAGATCTGCCCTCTGCCTTGGCCCTGCAAGGCACCTCCCAGCCTATGTTCTTGGAGACCCTGTCTCTAGAGAAGAGGGCCATGTACTAGCATCCTATGTACAGCCAGCCTCTGCCCTTGAGACTTCACCAAGAAAACTGAGGGAAAGGGGCTGAGAGCAGACAGGAATACACAGAAATGTTGGGTATCACAAGCTTCAGAAAACAGATGGACCCCACTATCTGCTTCAGAGCAGAGGCTAATGCTAGATAAAAGATGACTTGGTTAAACTGTGCTCAGCCATTTGTTTTTATCTGGTGAGTTTGCTCCTCCTCAGCAATATTATGAAATCTGAAATACAAAAACCAAAACAGAGAGATAATCACATAACATAGTTCCAAATTTGTTTGGATACCTAGCTGAACTCTTGTGAAAAGGAGAAAAAGCAAAGGATGAAAAGTAGGTGCAGCAGCAAAGAACTCTATCTCTGTGGCATAACTTTAAAGAGAAAAATAACTGAACCAATGATAAAATGATGGTCAGGGAAGCCAAGTTCACTTTAGGCCACAAAGATTCCCTTGGCTTGGCTTACTAGGGTGCACTATAGGGAATGGCTAATGACATTTGCAATTTCCCTGAAGTGGATACTCATCCTCCTTTCTTCTTCAACTCCTGTGGACTCTTGCTCAGGGCAGCTAGTATGTAGAAATAGACATCTGGCTTCTGTAGCTTTCCCTAGCCACCAGCCAAGTTCTGTCTTGGTGATTCTGTTCAACTGGCTGGGCAATGTATCTATAATTCATAGCTTTTCTGACCAGTCCGAAGCCTGATAAATACTCTCCCTTTGATAGGTCCATCTGGGTTACAGATGTTTGATGTTGGATTCCACGGGCTCTCTCTTCCTCTCTGAGCCTTTTGGAGAAGAACTCCTTTGGGCTAGAAACCAGAAGATTTCTCTTTGGGAGTGGTCGGGCGATTGAGTAGGATTTAGAAATTGAGCAGCATTATTCACGGATCAGTAATATTTGCCATGTTAGTAATCTATCTGTTGACCTTTTCCCCACTACCCACTACTAAGTAGGGAGCGTCTATGTAAAAGGATTTTGTTGTCGGGCACGATGTATTTTCTCCACAAATATGTAGCAAAGCATTTGTTAGAGCTGGAGCCCTACAGAGTCACAGTCTAATGGAGTTGTGGGCTTGAGCTCTGTAATTTAACTGTAATAACATAGATGCCATATATGGGCAATTCAGTTCAGAAATGGCCAGGACCTCGTAGGACACATAGGACCTCATAGACACAGATCTGTCTCTATTAATCCAAAGTCATTTTAAACAAATTAAGCCATGGCATAGGAAACCAAAACCCATCTTCTGCCCTTCATGGTTCAGTATGGATTTTTTTTTCTCATTGAGTTTATTGGTACATTTTTAGGTATGCTTCAGTCTGGATTTAAATCCAGGAAATATAGATTAAATTTTTAAATTCCTCCACAAAGTTACCAGCACTTACACTTTATATTGTTCTATTTGCCTTTCTGCTTAGCTTGCTATATTTGATTTGGAAATAATAGTTTTAAAACTACCATTATTGCAAATTAGAAGTATAAAAATTGGTATTTTTAATCATAAAATTTATAATTAAAAATACCAATTACAAAAAATAAAAGGCAGAGGATATGAGATGACAAAAAAAACTCTATGCATGAAATAAATGTGAGGAGCTGACACAGTAAAACCTTTCCCCTCTGCTGTGTTTCTGCCTTCAGACTTCTGTCAGAAGAAAAAAATTCAGAAATAATTATTCTTTTTTAGATCCCCACAAATAAAAATCAAAAAGTGTGGTAAATAAGCACTAGGTATTTCAGGAAATTCACCAGCATGAAAGATAGAAGGGGATTTTTGGGGGCGGGGGTTGAGACAGGATCTCACTATATAGTTGAGACTGATCTGGAACTCACTATGTAGCCCAGGGTGGTCTGGAACTCACAGCAATCCTCCTGCCTCAGCCTCCCGGGTGCTGGGATTACAGGCATGTGCCACCACACCTGGCTAGAAGGGGATTTTTAAGAAATGTTGTCTTTATTCTCAAAATATGTTACATCCTTATGATAAATACACATTAATGATGGAAAATTAAATAATAAAAGATCTTAGACTATGTTTACTAAAATTAAAAATTAAATAAATAATTGGAAACTATAATTAAGGAAATCTCAAACAACAGAACAAAATAAAAAAGTTGGCATATAGAGAAAAATAGTCAAGGGAAAAATTCAGAAGATATATCTTCATGTATCTTGGGGAGAGAAAAAGGACACAGAGAAAAGTGAATGAAGAAATATCAAGGGGCTGGGGATTTAGCTCAGTGTTTCTGCTGCCTGCCTCACAAGCACAAGGACCCGAGTTCCATTCCCTGTTCCAAAAAAAGAAATATCAAAGTAATAACTTAAGAAAAATTCCCATAATAACGGCTATGAATGCTCAATTTGAAAGGACCCACAGTAAAATAATAAACAACAGAAAAGGTCATCCCGGGCCGGGGATTTAGCTCAGTGGTTCCGGCACCTGCCTCACAAGCACAAAGTCCTGAGTTCGATCCCTGGTACCAAAAGAAAAAAAAAGGCCATCCCTTAGAAAAGCTATCATAAAATTCCTCAAGTAATAAGCTTAGGATAATATTCTAAATAATTTTAAAATAGGTAGATAGATAATCATTAGATTAAAACCTAGAGGCAATTAAAACATTCTTCAAAATTTTAGAAAGAGACAAATTATCTGTTTTGTGTAAAGGTAGAATTAAAATATTCTGAGAAATCATTTTCAGAAAATGTTGCCTAAAACATCTTTTGTCAGAAAGTTATTTAAGGATGTTTTCCGGTAAAATAAGATTATAAATTAAGAGATATTCATGTAACTGATGCAACAATTCCAAAAAAGCAATGAACTCCCAGAGTGACAACTCTATAACAGACCTAAATATAACTGTTGAGTGTTGGAGGAAGAGACTAGAATGATCTAAAACAGTGTAGGGGAGGGAAACCCTAAATTATAATCTATACATTAACTTTTAGGAAGATATCAAGAAAGAACAAAAGAAGAAGGAAAAGAAGACAGGAAGGAAAGAAGGTCAAGAAGAAATAGATACTCAAACCATAAGGTAGAGAATGGGAAAAGGTAGAAAGGAAATATAAAATGCAACATTTTGTTCTGCAACAAATAATGTTTCATAGGCATAAGTTATAAATAGACATACAAGTTTCCTTCATATCCATGTGTTCTGTGTGGATTTCACCAATTTTGGATCAAAAATAATTTTAAAAACATGGCTTCCATCTATATTGAATATATACAGGATTTTTCCTTGTCATCATTCCTATAATGTATTTATGTTGCACTTGGTTTTGTAAGTACAGTAACCTAGAAATGATTTAAAGCATACAGGAAAACGTGTGTAGATTATTTTCAAATCATATGTCTTTTATATAAGGGACTTAAGCATCTGCAGATTCTATTATTCTGAGGGATGCTGGAACCAATTTTATGGGATTCCAAGGAACAACTGTAACTAAAAATAGTAAAATAAAAACTGTGTTTGAGAGGTGAGTAGGGGGAGTAAATGTATGCTTGTTAGTCTCATCTCTATCATGAGAAAAAATCAATGAGTAATATTTAAAATTGATGAATCGAGCAAAATTACCAGAAAAGCTAGGTAAAGAGTTAAATATAGTTATTTATGGGTAGCAAGGATAAAGAATAGAGAAAAATGGAGAATAATTAGGCTGGAGATTATTGTTCTTCCTTACATATTTTGTTTCAGTCTTACAGTTTTAACTATGAGCATTTATTGCTCTGGTTCAATTTTTTTGTGGGGGGTCAAGTACTGGGGATCAAACTTGGGTCCTTGCGCTTTCAAGGCAGGCAGCAGAACCACTGAGCTAAATCTCCAGCCCTGATTTAAATTTTTTAATAATCCCAAAGCAAAACTACTTGGGGCTGGTGTGTAGCTGTGTGGAAGACCATGTGCTTAGTATGCACACAGCCTTAGCTTCAACCTCCAGCACCACCAAAAAAAAAAAAAAAGAAGTGCAATTTCCTATTTCCTATAATTCCACAGTGGTATTATACATAGAGGAAAAGAAGTGCCTATGATTAGAGGTTTACAACACTTCTGGGTTTATAGATATAATAGTATGAATTCTATATCACCTTCGAGGCAGTGAGGGGAATAAGTTTTAAACACTCTGATACGGGCAGAGCAGTAGGAGTCTAGAAGAATAAAGGGCCACTGTAAGAAAAATGATACTTGGGTATCTTGAAAGACTGCTGCTATGGCTTAAGCAAGTGTCCCACAAAGGATCATGCATTAGAGACTGGGTCCCCAGAATGGTACAATTGGGAAGCAATGGAACCTTTAGGAAGTGGGGCAGGAGATCCTATGGTCATTGGGGACACGGCCTCCAATGGGATTATAGGACCCTAGGCTCTTCTCCCTTTCCAGTTTCCTGGCTCACGAGGTGAAGTTTGCTTCGCTACATACTCCTGGCATGATATGCTGCTTTGTTAGAGACCTAAATGGGGCCACCAAATCTTGTATTAGATTTTCAGACAGTAAGCCAAAAAAAAAAAAAATTTTTTTTCTCTTTACAAGACAATTATCTTAGATGTTTCATTATAGTAACAGAAAGCTGACCAGCCCAGTGGCTCTCAGTGGGTTAATGTATTAACAAGCTTGGAGACAAATGAGAATAGGCCAGACCTTCCCCATATCTCCTAGGGACCCTAAGAGTCGCCAATCTCTATTGTTAGTGAGGTTTAGCTTCAGCTATTGTTTCCAAACTCCAGAAGCCACAAAAGGACAAAACAATGTTAGAAACATACCCTACAAGCAGGACATCCTAAACCTCAATTTCTTACCTCTTGGGCGAGTCGGGGTCAAAGCAGGTCTTGCGCACGTCCGCCACCTCGGGATCACAGCAGTCCCCATCATCAAAGTCATTCAGCATGTTGTTGCATGAGGCATGACAAATCCCGTCCCTGCGGTTCCAGGAGTAGCAGCGGCCCTGCAGGCGACAGTCGCCCCCATCGTAGCCCGTGAGCGGGTGCTCACACTCTGGATCACAATGGTCATTTCCAATCTTGCTGGGCTCACAGTTCACAAGCACAACCCTGTGGCGCAGGGTGGAGTTGAGGACTCTATGGATGCTCAGCTGCCAGCTGATGTTGTAGCGGCTGAAGGCCTCGTTCAGGGCCTCGTGCTGCCGCTGGATCTGCGCCTCACTCACTATGGGGTGCAGGCCGTCATCATCACAGATATTCACCACCTGGTAGCGAATCACCTTCTCTCCCCGCAAGGGCCAGTGCCTGTTGTACTGAGAGATCAACTCCACATTGTCACAGACCGTCTGCCCACAAGGCGGGGGCTGCAGCGGCGACAGAACCTCGGGCTTTGGCCCAGAGCCCCGGAGTACCTCAAGCCTGGGATATTTCTCATCCCTGAAGGGTGTCCACTGTTCCCTCACAGGATCAAAGCTGGCTGTTAAGACCAGGGTGGCCAACTCCTCTGCCCTATTTCCATGCTGGGAACTGTGCTGGAGGTGGCTTTGTGAGAGGGCAGTGGACCAGAAGACCAGTGTGCCCAGGTGTCCACGGAAATAGTGCCCATTCTCAGAGCTATCCCCACCCAAGAGCAAGGAGCGACAAGATGCCATGAAAGGACTGTTCAGGGGACCAGACTGGCCTGGACTACTGGCCACCTGAGTGCCATCCAAATACAGGGCCATGCGCCGTCCATCGTAAGTGGCTGCCACGTGTGTCCATGTGCCTGGTTGATAGCGACTGTGGCCCATCACAGTGGTGGCTTTCTTCATGCGGTCAGTCCGGAGGGAAAAGTAGAAGCGAGCATCTTGCCTTCCCTTGTCCTTCCCTGAGCCAATGCCCAGGGTCCAGCCCTTGTCATTGACTGTGTGGGAGCAGTTATCAAACACACCTGGGAAAGAAGGACAAATCCAGCAAGAAATAACAGATACAAAGAGAGAGGGAGAAAGGGAAAAGAAAGCCTGTGTAAATAAGTTTTTAATGAGAAACAAGGGACACAGATTCCTCACCTGGGATCCCTGTTCATACTCCCATACTAGACCATGTGGCAATTTATATCCCCCAAAAGAATCCGATTTGAGATTCCACCCAATTTAGCTCATTCTGTTTGTTTTTTGTTCTTTCCAGTACTGGGACTTGAATTCAGGGCCTTCCCACTGAGCTACATCCCAAGCCCTTTTGGTATTTTTACTTTGATGTTGCCCAGCCTGGGCTTGAACTTGGCAATCTTTCTACCTTAACCTCCCAGATTAAGGATTGCAAGCAAGCACTATGGTGCCCAGGTCATTCTGGTATTTTTAAATCACTAAAATGAAAGCTGTAGTGAAGATATCCAATGGAATTATATCCACATGTCATCAGGAACTTTTTTCGTGCCTGCTAACTTTGAGTCCCTGCCTTCCCTCACTGAGCTTTGCTCTATTTCCTCGGAAACCGTGAAGATGGCAGCACATATTTTACAAATCACTCTAATCTCCTACCCTCTCCAGGCACTTTTCTCTATTAAACAATAACGTGGTGGTATTTGTTGGGAAACTAAGAAGTTGTCGCATCAAGGTATCTCACAGAGAAGACTGTAACTTCCACATATCGTTCTACTGTTCTCTCTAGTACCTCATTACCTGCTCAGAGCAAGCACAGGACTATTAAATCCACTTCCACAAACAATGGAGGCCACCTTGGGATAACGAGATCATTGGCAAATCAGCAGCAGGAAAGAGCAGTAGGACCACAGCTGAGAGGAAACCTGAGGCAGTTTGGAGAGCTTGAATGATCCCAGCAACACACTCTTCTGAGCGCCTCTTCCCTACTGAATGGCAGCAGCTGTTCTTACTGGTAAAGCACATGAAGACAGTACATTTATACAGAAATGCTGACTAAACATTTCTTGAACTGATGAATGAATGGTGGAGAAATCTGCTACTCAGTCACTAGGATTAACATCAAGAGTCATTCTCCTCCCAGTCTGTTCAACAAGCACTTCACCTCCTATGTGATCCAGGCTTTAGTACTTGTCTTCAGAGAGATAAAATTTATAAGCCCCGAGGCTTACCATTCCGATGGCAAATGTTCTAAAAGTAGCTATGTTTCAGGGGACAAGGATATAGCTCAGTGGCACTTTGCCTGCCTCACAAGTATGAGGTCCTGAGTTCAGTTCCCAGTACCGGGGGAAAAAAGATTAAGATTAAAAAGTAGCTATGTTTTCATAAATAATAGAATATCTTCTCTTGTCTCTAACATAAATTAATAACATGTGATTTAAAAATAAAATTTATTTTTAACAAAAATAGCCCCTACTCAACACAGTAATTCTAATTATACTTTGAAGAATTGGCTTTGGCTAGATATGAAGTGGTAGGGATGTTCCAGTTTGGGTTTTTTTGCTTTTTTTTTTTTTTTTTTTT